AATCTGTACAAGCATCAGCAACATTTTTACTTACATTGAAATGTAACGTTTGTTAAAGGCTAATGATAAGGAACTGACTATATAGATGTAGAAAGGTGTTACCAGAAGAGGGTTCGTTGAGGAGCCCGAGGTGTGAATAATCACAGAGACAAAAATAAGGTTTAACTAGTTTTGTATTAAAGTGGCCAAAGACAAAAAAACAAACAAAAAAAAAACACACAAACATTAATAACAAAACAGTATTTGATTAATTGTCCCCAAGGTTCAGTTAGGTTAGATTGTTTAGTGTTCATAAGCGCAAAGTCCATACGCTATGGTAATCCAGGGTTGAGAATAGAATAGTTTTTATCCTTATAGGAAAGAGAGTCTGTATCCTACCGCACAGGTAGAGGTCTTAGCTCGCCATCTTCAGTTAAATTAGAAAAAAGAAAAAGTTGTTGTGAACCAGGTTGTAGTGAGGGTGATGTCCTTTTTCTGGCATAAAAAAAAACCTGACCGTTGAAGGGATGACACAAGTTGATCTCTGTCTGTGTAGTGGTATTATTGCAAGACAACATGAGCGGTTTGGCCCAAGTTGTGAGAGAGAAGCGAGTCCAAAAGACAGGTTATAATATTAGATCTTTAGGAAGATCCAGTAACTTTTTTGAGACGAGACGCCAACAGAGCATGCAACAGCCACAGGTGGGGAATGGAGGAGGGAGTGGCACTCTGACTCCGCAGGTAAATAGAGTTGGGGTGATGTCGCACAGGGCGTGGCCCGTCAAATTAAAAGGACTTAGGAGCTGAGGGCTACATTTACATACATTGAAAAAAAGGGTTGGACCTAAACTGGAGCCCTGTGGCACACCTTTTCTGATTTCTATTCACACGCTGACGGTGGCAAGATTTTATGGGTAGCTGGGGCTAAAATCTTTTAGCCCCAGCTACCCACAAGCGAGACTTTCAGAAGTGAGGTTGCTATCTATCAACCCTACCAGGTCAACTGACCACCAACGCGGACAAGGTAGGTGAAGTGTCTTGCCCAGCGACACAATGACAGACAAATGGGGTAGGGGATTTGAACTAACAACCCCCAATACAGAAAATACCCAACCACATAAGACACCTTCCTGGCAGAAAACCTTAAAGTGGACATTCTAAATAGGAATACAAGTTTTATGTTTCTTTTTTCTGCTTATTTGTTTTTAAACATGCTAAAATAAAGGATAGCTCTATTAGGATAACGGTAACATGCAAACATATTATAACCATCTATAGTTAATTAAGGCACTAAAAGAAAAAAAAAAAAAACAGCATTCTCATTTAGAATTAATAATTTACTTCCATGGCCAATCATCATTTTGGGGTAATTCATTGCTGCTTCGACAAGGAAGGAATATTTCACCAAGTTGTTAACAAAATAAATAACAGGCCATACTATAGCTGAACCCTAACTCAGATTTATCTGTGCATGGTGGGGACACTATCACTCACAGCCAGAGGAGGGTGCCAAACACAAAGCAGAAAAATAATAAAAAAATGGGTCAGATCATTAAGAGCAGAGGAAGAAAAACAACAAGATTGTTTTAAAGAAAGTAGTAGATCTGTTGTCATGTCGGTATGAAAAACATTTCTGGCAGGAAGAACAAGGACAGAACATGTGCAATGATATTCTGATGATAAATTCCCCTAATCTTTTCTTTTTTCAGTTATTTTCTTCTCCTCTAAGTAGTGGATAACCAATGTAGTTTTCTCACTGAGCTAAAAAAGTTGCAAGTGCTTTTCTGTGAAATCAAAGCAGCTCAGATATAGAAGCAGAAAAGCATGTAAAGCGCTTGAAGAAGAAAGCTGTACTGAACAAAAGCAACAAAACAAAGGCAATGATTCTAAAGGTGCTGTGAAACAACACGGTTATATTTATGACCTGTTAGAAGGACAATTGTAGCACTAATGGGGAATAAACCATTTGCAACCTTTGCAGACTGAGCTTTCAATAAGGGATCTGATGCAGGAACCGACACACTGACTGATTCTCAGGTGTTAAAGTAGAAATGCTTCATTTTGTCATGAGTTTCTGTGGGTAGGATGAAAAATCTTGCACTTTAATTTTTTTTATCTATGTTTAATGGGTTGTTTCATCTTTCACATGTTTTTCTTTAAAGCGACACAGTTTTAGTCATTTTGAAATGTTTGGAGGAATGAAAATGTTGAAAAGGTAACTTGCTGTCATTTATTTTATGTATGGAGTTTGAACACCTCCCAGTGTTTGTAGACTCTGTAAATTAATGACTAAATCTTACAATAAATACAGAACAGTCACTGCTTGCATATAGTGCATTCTAAGTATTGACAACTCATGAGTCTTTTTTGTATAACCAAACACTTCGATTCATTTTACTGAGAAATGATGTAACAGACTAAGACAAAGTGGTGCTTCGTTTTGAACTGGAGGGAAATTATTTCAAGGTGTTCAAATTTTTTCTACTATAAAAATATTGAAGAGAGGGGACATGATTTTGATTTCAGGCCACCTCAGTCAACGCAGAGAGGAATCCTAATACATCTTTATGTTCTTTGGGATATGTCTCCACCAGGTTTGCATTATCTAAAGACAGAATTGGATTTAGTTTTTACATATGCATATATATA